ACTTTCATATACATTTCTACTTTTTCCAGCTGCTGCATGTAAATTTATTTGGATTTTTTGTGGAAATTTTGTTGTCATTCGGGTAGTTCGGTATTTTTCTGTTAAATTATATGCCAATTCTTTTATAAAAAGCCTTTTTTTATGTAGTTTGTTCCTATTATATTGAGGATGTACATGCATATATAACACATATGCATTAATTATTGCCAAATCTAAAATATTATAAAATGAGAAAAGTGGCCACTTTCTAGTTTCTCTTTTTCAGGTATAAGCTGACGCTAATTTATCTGTTGTATCTACACCTCCTTTGGTTCTGTTGTATTCTAAAATAATGTCTGGTTTCTTATGTTCTTGCAATGACACCTGGTCATTTAAATGCATCGAGAACAAAAGAATAACAGATTTACCCTTTTTAGGACTATATGAAACTACACTCATATTCTTTTGAAACCCAAAAATTGATGATAGGGCTTCTTTACTTTTATTTGGTAGAAATTCAACTGGAACAAAAGTTTTGTTCTTTCGTAATGTTTCAATTAGTGTTAGTTTACGTTTTAATAATTCAGTCGCTGAATGGTAGTCAGTAAAAAAAATATCTGTGGTTATGTTTCGCCCAGAATTCTGAACATCTTTTATCGTAGTCGTAAAACCTGAAATAGTCGAATTTCTGTCCTAATGTACGTCACGGAGCTGATTTTCTGCTTTTCCTGTATACACTTCTGCATAATACGCATACACAGTTTTGACATCAGATGAAAGCCATAATTTAATTTATATTTCCCTCGTGGTTTTGTTGGAATATACTGTCTGAAGGGACACTTACATATTGTAAATCTTCTTGTTCAGGAACTTCTACTTCATTTTTCGAATTTTCACTTTCATTTTTATCATCATCAACCGTAGATACATGATCTTCTTCAGAAAATTCTTCATCTATTAACTCTTCATCACTATAAGTCGAACAATTTTCAATTAAAGGTGACTAATCTACAAATTGAACTAAACGGTAGCGGCAACCATGTAAAATTTCAGTAGTAAATTCTTACCGGGGGCATTTTTATTGTGTATGCTTCGCCCATGTAAGTATGTAAATTTGTAACCCATGTAAGATAAATTTTCCCCCGTAACAATATAAATTAATGCGATTCACGAGTGTATAGTGAGACAAATTCAACGAATAGTTTGAAACATCGGTAAACTTACCAATATTTTGGTGGTCTATATATATTTACATTCTTAGAAAGAATGTTAATGAGAGAAATATGATATCTTAGTTTATTCCTTCCAGATTATAAACATTTGTGCATAAGCGTAGTGTGTTATTGGGAATATATTTATTAAATAGACTTTATTATTAACATTAAAATAGTTTTAAGGTAAGTAAAGTAAATTTGAGGCCAGTTTATTCTTTATATAGTATTAAACCCTTAACGGCCGCTCAATATACAAAGAGAAATTTGAGAATTAATTTATTAAATTCGATTAAAAACACATAAATTAGGACTGGTTCAAAACCAAAAAATTTTTTTTTTCTCATTTTCAAGTAAAACAGTACAATTTTTAATAAAGGAACATATTGTATCTTAAACGTAAATTAAATTTTAAGGTGAAAATTTTTCGAAACATTCGGGGTGTAGATGCATTCTAAACTTTTTACATAAATAAATAGTATTACTTTTGTACATCCTAGATTTTTGCACTATCGTCTCTTTTTGTAATGTGGCCAATATTGTCGAATCTGGTTTCATCTGGTAAAGCAAATTTAGATTGACGTCCATGTACTAAGTGACACTGATGTAGCGGTTTCTTCACTATTATAAATTAAAATTATAAATCTATGTCGGCTCATGCTTTCTCTTATAATATGCACTTCTTTATCCTCATCCTTTGATCAATGCATATCAACTTAAAGTGAAGTGTAAACCAGTTAATATCCATATGCTAATAATTTTATTTAAATCTATGTTATTCATTTCAACATTGTGACGGTTATTCTCAATTACTTTTTTATCAAAAAGAGTAAAAAAACTTCAATATATGACTTGCCTACATGGTTGGCTTTTATATTGTCTAAATATCAATCAGACTCATATTGAATTACTACTGAGCACGAATAAATATTCGTTATTACAACTTGAGATAAATTTAAATTTACTATTTTTGCCTGGTTTTTTCTTTGGTCATTTTATCTGTGGTTCAGAAGAATATAATAATCAGAATCGTCAGAATTCCCAATCACTTGTATTTTATATGTACCTGCAATATTCGATTTTATTGATTCTTCACAAATAATATTATCATCATCAATGTCTTCAAGGAATACAATAATATACCAACAAACGAATGGGAAAGATACCCGACGGAACTGTTTAAAGTAAAGGAAAATAATAATCAACACAATAACGTACCTGAATTAAGACACGAAATACAAATCAGTTTTCAGGAAGTAGAAATAGTCATAAATTCACTTAAAAATTAAAAGTCGCCAGAACCAGACGGAATAACCAACGAGCTTCTAAAATACGGAGGAGAAAGTATAACCCTAGAGGTGGCAAAACTTATACAAAAACTAATATTGCACTGCAAGATACCAGACGCATGGAGAAACAGCATAATGATACCAATGTTCAAGAAAGGAGATAAAGAAGACCCCAACAATTATAGAGGTATAAATCTACTGAACACCGAACTTAAGCTTACCACAAAAGTCCTAACCAACAAAATTAATAAACTAACAACTTTATCAGATGAACAAGGATTCAGATCCGGATGATCCTGCGTAGATGCCGTATTTGTATTTACACTTCTCTTTAATATAATAATGGACGAAATAATACAAGCAGTACGTAAAGGTCATGGCTGATGAATGGGGAACAAAGAAATCCAAATATTATGTTATGCAGACGACGCCGCATTAATCGCCGAGACAGAAGACGAGCTCTAAAGATTAACACATATCTTTAATACAACAGCTAAGAAATACAATATGATACTATCAGCAGAAAAGTAGAAATGTATGACAAACATTTAAATACCCACTAAATACCCACTACGGTGTAAAATCGAAATTGATGGGAAATAAAGCCGGAAGCATGGTTTAGATATCTGGGAATAGACATAACTAGTTACCGAGATGTTGAAGAAGAAGTACGAGAGCAAAGCTTAAAAGCAAGTAAAGCGGCGGGTTCTCTTAAAGACACAATCTGTAAGAACAAACACCTAAGACAAGACACAAAAACAAGAGTCTATAAAGCAGCAATTAGACCTATATTAACATACACGGCGAGATAGGGAGAGAGGCAAGTAGATCATGCAATATAGAAGACATAAATGGATGGGTGACAAAACGAAAACAGGAATGGAACACATCAGTAGAATGGCAGAGGATAGAATAATACGAATAGCACGAAATAAGTCACCAAATGGACGAAGAAGTATTGGCAGACCAAGAAAAAGATGGTAGGATAATTCAAACAATTTAGAAGGCTAATATTGAAAAACAAACAGGCTTTAAAGCCTACATACTAAAAGGAAGAAGAAGAAGATCAATGTATTCTACATCAGAAACTTTCTAATCTAATCTCGGCGGCAAATAAACCACATTAAATAAGTCAGCATTTTCACAATCTGAGTCTTCTTCAAACAAAGCTATTAACCCTTTAGTAGTTAACTACTATATAAACATTTACTAGCATTCATCTAATAATAGTTTAGCTTACTTCATTTTAATTTATATGAACTTCATAATATATTTTCATATTTATATAAACAAATAAACACAAGGAAACTTTCAAATTAAGTTAAGAAAGAAAAACAAATATAACGTTTACAGCACACAGCAATTCTATAAAAAGAGAATGATGTGTTATTAAAATTGCAGATTGTTTTTAGTCTAATGAAAAAAAAAATAAGTATTTTCCAAAGTTATCTTTTTTTTGAAGTTCTGTATTAGATACTCTCTAATAAAAATAAAATGTTACTTTACTTTGTTAGACAACTATAAGATACCTGTTAAAAGAGACATGATAATTTAATAATTAAATCGGTCTTAGATTTAATTTTTACGTATTTACTTATGTGTTTAAATAAATAATTAAAATTTTTTTGGTACGCCTCTGTAAAATTGATAATTTCAATACGATTTCGTTGAAAAGTTATCGTTAAGGGCTTCGTTAAGTACGATGTTGCCAAGTAATCACCTTCAATTAAAAATTGTTTTAGATTAGTGACGGTTTCGAAATTGGTAGATTCATCTTCATTTTCTGATTCTTCTTCAAGGATTTTTCGTAATTCCTCTTCCGTGAGTTTCTCTCCTGGAGCTTATTTTTAGCAAGCGCTTATTCTGTTTTTCACAAATGATGGTACACTCTAAACTTTAAGCGATCAAGCTTCCGAAAATAGAGCCCATAAAATCTAATCACCGTCCTCAGCAAAATAAACAAAACAAAAGTCACGTACATTTGGAAACACTTCTGGGTACAGGTGGAACCGTAAACAACAGATGTGTTTCTTTCATTTCAAAGAAAAAGAAACTGATAATTCAAAACGCAAATACGTTAAATTGTATTATAAACCTTATCTTAAGGGTACCATGAAACATTACGTCTTAAATTTACAATGTAATAAATATATAAACATTTGAATTTTACTACTGGGTTCACGCGTACCCAGAGAGAATACAAAGGTTAAAAATCCATTTCCATAGCTGCTCTTCTCCAGTTATCTACACTCAAAATCACTATTACAAACCGCAAACAGTTTACCGAAATTGTTGCTTACCTCTCTTGATGGAAACGGAACTTGAAGAAGAAAATTTTCGTATAATTTTATATAGGTATTGTTTACTGGTTGGCAAACGAGACATTTTATATATTTACGACTTGGTCATTGTAAAATCTTAGTTTAAACGTTTTTTTTTATTAATTTGACATTGTTGTATTAGAATATGATCTTTTACATAAGTTTTTTATAATAACATAATGTTTGTTTCTGTTATTTAGGTGGGACGTACAACTAAATAGCATAGCAGATGCGAAATTAAAGGAACTGTTTCCTGTAGTTCCAGTAATATTTATTAAAGCCATAACTCAGGACAAGCAGGATCTAAAAATATGTACGACTGTCCAGTGTACAAAACAAGAATGAGAGGACCGACTTTCGTATGGACATTCAACTTGAAAACCAAAGAAAAAGCTCTCAAATGGGTGTTAGCTGGAGTAGCTTTATTGTTACAGATTTAAATTATAGTTAATGTTGCTTTATAGTTATATAGTTTATATCCAATAAAGGTTATAGTTTTGTTAATTGAATGCAATATTTTATTCTCTATTTGAAATATTTCGAAACATTTTTACTTTATTATCTCAGGTTTTTCAAATATTTCATCACTCAATCACAAATTGGAAAATAAACATTATTTTAAGTTTACGAAAATGTCTTGGCACTACTAACTCTAGTTGCCCATCAACTCAAATATGGAAGATGGCTAGCAAATTAAACAACAAAAACACAAACATCAAACATGCTCCTTCCGCAGTTGCAGAAGATATTCTACAGAAGTTATGTCCATCATTTATTGACAAACATATACCTTACATGGCTTTAAATCCAGAAGAACATTATTTTTTAAAAGAAATAACATCATCTGAACTGGAATATGCTATCAAGATATCCAAAAACACAGCTCCAGGTCCAGATCAGATTTCTTACATCATGTTACAAAAAATGGGTGTACTGGCTAAAAGACTACTACTACATATTTATAACTGTATTTTGCAAACTTGAATACCTCCTTACAAATTTAATGATTGCTTTGTTATATTAATTCTAAAACCGGGAAAAGACAAAGATAATCCGGAATCATATAGACCAATAACATTATTGTCATGCATTTTTAAAACATTTGAAAGGATTCTCAAATTGAGAATGGAAATTTGGTTAAGGCGGCATAATATTCTGCTAGCAACACAATATGGATATAAACAAGGCTATGGAACCACGGATGCAGTAGTTCGTCTGACTACAGATGTTCAAATTGGTTTTTTCTAATTCCATGACAACAGGTGCATTGTTTATTGACATAAAAAGTGCATATGACAATATTGATTTAAATATCCTCTGTGATAAACTTGTGTTTCTTGGCGTTCCAAAATCGATAGCACATTTACTATCAAACCTATACAAAGAGAGAAGTGTATCGATAAGAGTAGGTCACAATATTATTGGACCCAAGATCACATCAAAAGGTATTCCACAGGGAGCTGTTTTTAAGTCCACTTCTTTTTAATTTGTACACATACGATTTGCACAATTTATGGTCTCCCAATATTGTTTGCTTACAATATGCTGATGATATTGTCATCTATTCACATAAGAAAACGTACAGTGAAAGCACTACTGAACTCCAACATATTATGTACAACTTGGATAATTGGACTTGGTTAAATGGTTCCAATATTTCGTACCAAAAATGTGCCGTAGTATTTTTTTCAAGAAAACACCCTATTAAACATCACGCTGTAACCTTACATGGCAATGATATTCCAATTGTTGCAGAATTTAGATATCTTGGTGTCGTACGTGATAGAAAACTGCTTTGGACACAACATATTAATTATACAGTAGGTCGCTACGAAAAAGGTATCAATTTTCTTAAAATGGTGTGTAAGAGATCGTGGGGTGCAGATAAAAACATTGCATTGAATTTTTATCGAGCCTATATAAGATCTATAATAGATTACTGTTGTGTGGTATATGGGTCAGCTAGCATTACCAATTTACGTAAACTTGATAGAATTCAATTTAAAGCTTTAAGGATTGTGTTGGGATTGATGAAAAGCACTCCAAATGAAGCCACCCTAGCTCTAGCATCTGAAAACCCACTCTCATTGCGCAGAGAATATCTGGCAAGCAAATATTTCCTAAACCAACATTATCGTGGCACTTATAATGCAAAAATAATTAATGAATTAAATACAGCTGATTTAACATCTACATACTTCATAAAAAAAAACTCTCCACCACTTGCAAGAGCAATTATAACTTGCAACGAACTGAAGTTAATAAATTCCCCTTGTACTTTTATCTGGGAATCGTTGGATATACCACATCTAACAAGTGTTCTGGCTACAAATATTACTATCCCTAAATACCAAAACGAATTTTGCTACACTACTCTTAAAGAAATCCTAAGTGGCTATTCAGATCATATTGTGATCTATACAGACGGGTCAAAATCACCAACATGTACAACCAGTGCTTACTTTGTACCAAAAATGAAGATTAAAAAATCATTTATTTTAAATAATCAATCCAGCATTTTTTCTGCTGAAGCATGTGCTATATACAAAGCCCTTGAATTGTGCTGTGAAAACCAGTGGAACAAAATTGTCATATGCAGTGATTCACTGTCAGTATTACACTCTTTACAAAACTTTAAATTCACAATCAATAGCAATATATTCATATTAGAAATTTTTCAACAGTTACTAAAACTATCAGATCCATATGGTACTAAATTTCTATGGGTTAAGGGACACTCGGATATTGTTGGCAATACTATTGCTGATTCTATAGCTAAAAATCCATTACAGCACCCACATATGGTGATAGAAGAATTTAACACATGTGACCTACTTGCCTATATCAAACAACATATTAAATTTAAATGGGACAGACAATGGATTCAGTTTGGTGAAAGCAGGGGCACTAATTTATACAAATTACAACCCACAGTAGATGTAAAACAGTTTTACAAATATGTTACACTAAGCAGAAACACAGTGTCAACTGTCTTAAGATTAAAAGTAAATCATGGATGTTTTCCGAAACATCTACACAAAATAGGAGTTCTCCCAACAGACCAATGTGAGTGTGGAACTAGTATAGCTGACTTAAACCACATATTCTTCAACTGTCCACTACATCGTAATATAAGCACGTGGCTGATAAAAGAATTGATAAAAGAGGGATTAAGTACACCATTAAACGTAAATCTTTTATTAAGTGAAGACAATATAAAAATCTTTAAAATAATTATGATATTTCTTGTAAAAATTAAATTAAAGGTGTAAGTGTTAAATTGATCGTATGCTTGAACATTTCCTTTGTATGTTTACCATATATGTTGCCCACCTACCTAACCGTGGTTTATGTCTTGTTTGTTATAATAAAGCCGCTCTGATGAATCCCTGAGCGTGAAAAGTGTCCTCCTTGTACAATCCTGTATGAATGAATACTAATATTTATATGTAATTACGTGGCTAAAGGTTTCAAGCCAAAGCCAATAAAAAAAAAATGTCTTGACATAGCAAATGACATGCAGCAACATGCAGCATAAAATGAAAATTCTGTATAATAAACCGAGCTCCATGGTCAAACTTAGTCAGCAAAATTATATATAAAAGTGCAAAAATATTAATCAATTTAGTATGAATATGAAGACAGTAAAAACTCATGATGCTTTCTTGACATGGTAAGTATTTGGCCTTTCAGTTAGTTTACTCTCAGTATTAACATTAAACTCTAATTTTATATAATATTCTCGATATGTTATAAGAAATCAACGGAAAGAAATAGCAGAATTGAAGGAATACAATAACATACCAGCAACCGAATGGGAAATATACCTGACACTACTGTTTAAAGCAAAGGAGAATAATAATCAACACAATAACGTACCTGAATTAAGACACAACATAGAAATCAGTTTTCAGGAAGTAGAAATAGCCATAAATTCGCTCAAAAATAGAAAGTCACCAGAAGCAGACGGAATAACCAACGAGCTTCTAAAATACGGAGGAGAAAGTATAACCCTAGAGATGACAAAACTTATACAAAAACTAATATTGAACTGCAAGATACTAGACGCGTGGAGAAACAGCATAATGATACCAATGTTCAAGAAAGGAGATAAAGAAGAACCCAACTATTATAGAGGTATAAATCTACTGAACACCGCACTTAAGCTTACCACAAAAGTCCTAACCAATAAAATTAATAAAGTAACAACTTTATCAGATAAACAACAAGGATTCATATCCAGAAGATCCTGCGTAGACGCCGTGTTTATACTAAGACAAATCACAGAAAAGGCCATCGAGTACAATAAACCAGCATATCTTTCTTTTATAGACCTGACAAAGGCTTTCGATCGCATCCAAGTCAAAGACGTCTTACACCTACTGTATAAAAGAAACATACCAATCAATATTATACAAACCATCGAAAACATCTACCTCCATAATCGAATACAAGCAAAGATTAATGGAATACTAACACAGTGTATACCAGTACAAAGCGGAGTCAAAAAGGGTGACTCTTTGAGTCCACTTGTGTTTAATATAATAATGGACGAAATAATACAAGCAGTACGTAAAGGTCATGGCAATAGAAAGGGGAACAAAGAAATCCAAATATTATGTTATGCAGACGACGCCGCATTAATCGCCGAGACAGAAGACGAGCTGGATCCTACTGCATTCTGCCGAGGAATTTGCAATTGGTTCAGAATAATATTTATTTTTATTATGTAGCTTATGGAAATACAAAATATTTTTAAAATATTTAGTGTGTATAATTGCATATTGTGCATTGGGCATGCTGGGTATCTCACTTAAAGACCACAAAACCAATGAAGACATTCGTAATAAAACTAAAGTAGGAGGTGCTGTCGAACAGGCAGCTAAACTGAAATAGAAATGGGCTGGACATAACGAACGTCTTACGGATGGCCGATGGAATAAAGAAATCGAGAATTGGCGGCCATATGAAGCCACGAGGATGACCGCAAATGAGATGGAGCAACGATATTAAAAGGGCCAATGTGGAAACGTCTTACAAAGAACAGAGATGAACGGCGAGAATTAGGAGAGGCCTATAGTCGGCAATGCGAATAGAAAAAAGGGCTAAAAAAATAATTGCATATTATGTATTAAAATTAAATGCACCTATCCACTTAAGACTTTTCCTCAACAAGACGAGAAACAAATACATCGGTTCAAAATACTTGTTTTTGATAAAAGTTACCCCAAATTAACTGACGACTAGTGTTTGTCGATTTAAATAATATGTAAATAATATATATATATATATATAATATATATATATATATATATATATATATTATATATATATATATATATATATATATATATATATACCACAAAAAGGCTCTAAAACAATAAAGGGTGGAGATAATAAACTTAAGAGGTAAAAAACATTTAAAAGACATTTAACGAAAACTCAACTTTTTTGTACAGATTATAATAAATAAAATATAATAAGAGTTAAATGTAGTACAGAGATATT